ATTTGCACTTTAGTATCTGAACTTTCACTTTCTTCCATTCTGGTCATTTTTCACTTGTTTCTCCTTATTTCCGCTACATTCATCACTTGTCCTGCAAAACATGAATTGCATAGAATTAAGTTATATTCCAACATATTAATCAATAATTGATCATGTTTTGACAGTAAAATAAGTATGTAAAAATACACTTATCACAAAGCAACTGTAAAAACTTCTTATGAGCATTGGACAGGCAAAAAGCCTAGTTTGAAGCACTTATACATTTGAAGTTGTCCAGCTGAGGTAAGACCTTATAGGCTATCGAAAAAGAAACTGAATTCCATAAATGTCAGCTGCTATTTTATTGGAAACTCTGAAAGGTCAAGAGGTTACAAATTTTATGATCCCACTACCAAATTAATTTTCAAAATGAGAAATGTCTGATTCTTTGAAGATGTGGAGTTTGGAGAGGATGGGAGACAAAGTTAGAGATTTTGTCTTTGAAGAGGAACATATAAAAATCGCTCCTATTTCAATTGACAATGATCATGATCAAGGACAAATTCTTGCTCTACATCTTATTCAAGAAGCAATTTCAGATCGAGACAATATTCCATATAAACAATCAAGAAATTGTTCTAGAAGAACAAACTTAACAAGCTCAAAAACAAATGTCATTAAGGAAATCCACTAGAGAAAGGAAAAATGCAATTCCTGATGATTTTATAGTATTTCTCCAAGAGTATGAGGATGGCATTGGATTGATGCAAGAAGATCCTATCAACTTTCATCAAGCAATACAAATGAATAATTTTCAAAAGTGGATTGATGTCATTGGTGAGGAAATAAAGTCTATGAAAGACAATAACGTTTGGAAACTTGTCTCATTGCCTGAAAGTATGAAACTCATTGGTTGCAAATGAATATATAAAACCAAGAGAGATTCGAAGGGTAATGTGGAAAGATATAAGGCTCGTCTTGTTGTAAATGGCTTTACTTAAAGGGAAGACATCGATTACAAAGAGACTTTCTCTCCAATTTCAACGAAAGACTCTTTCGAGATTATAATGACAGTTGTGGCACATTTTGACTTTGAGCTTCATCAGATGGATGCAAAAATAGAAATTCTCAATGGTGACATTGATGCGATGATATTTATGGTGCAACCGAAAAACTGTGTCAGGAGACTTTAAAAAAATGGTTTGTATGGGCTAAAGCAGGCTTCCCGTTAATGGTATCACAAATTCATCAAATAATCATCTCGTCAATGTGGTTGATGATTATGTATACCACATATTCAGTGGGAGTAAGTATATTTTCCTGGTATTGTATGTCAATGACACACTATTTGTCTGCAATAATATAGTCTTATTGCACGAAAACAAGATATTTCTATCAAAGAATTTTGAGATGAAAGATCTTGGTGACGTCTCTTTTGTATTAGGAATTCAGATATATCGAGATTGTTCTCGAGGTATTCTTGGATTATCACAAAAAAGTTATATTGATATAGTACTGAAAAGATTTAGGGTGCATGATTGTAAACTAGGTGATACACCTGTTGCTAATGGAGACAAGTTTAATCTTAATCAATGTCCTAAAAATGACCTTGAAGCAAAGGAAATGCAGAAAATTCTATATGCTTCAGCAATTGGGAGTTTAATGTATGCTCAAGTATGCACACGTCCGGATATAGCATTCATTGTTAGAATGCTAGGTAGATATTTAAGTAACCCTATGATGGATCATTGGAAGGCAACTAAACAGGTTATGCGGTATTTATAGAGAGCAAAAGATTACATGCTCACATACAGGAAATCAGACCAATTGGAGATAATTTGTTATGCTGATTCTGATTTTCCTAGATGTCAATATAGTAGGAGATCCACATTGGGCTATGTCTTCCTGGTGGCTGGAGGAGTTATATCCTAGAAGAGTGTTAAGCAGACACTCATGGCTTTTTCAACCATGACAGCGGAGTTTGTAGCGTGTTATGAGGCATCTAATCAAGAAATATGGCTGCGGAATTTTATTATTGGGCTGCGGATTATACATGGAATCGAAAGACCACTTAAGCTATTTTGTGACAGTAAGTCAGCAGTCTTGTATTCAAATAACAATAGGAGTTCAAAAAAGTCTAAATTTATAGACTTCAAATTTCTAGTTATTAAAGAAAGAGTTCAGAGTGGTCAGGTTACTATAGAACATATTGTAATAAACTCCATGATAGCAGATACATTCACTAAAGGTCTACCGCCCAAAGTCTTTCATGAGCACAATGCTCACATGGGAGTTGTAAATTTTGATGGTATGCTAGTTTAGTGGGAGTTTGTAATTTTGAATGTTGTCTTTTTGACACGTGATTTTTGGCAATAAAGTATTCAGTTCAGTTTTTTTACTCTGATTAAAGTTTTTTTTTTTTTAAGTTTTAAGGTATTAAAGAATAAAGTATGACCAGTTGAAAATCGACATGTTTGGATCACATTGCATGTAATTTTCATGCTACACATCTACACTTGATCTATGTCATTTGATTGTGTTGATGTAGGGACCATTGAGGGTTTAGTTATGATACTTGTAACGAAAATCGCTTGAATCCTATATTAGCATAATTGATTGACGAGATTGTTTGGAAATACTTTTAGTTATAATAGCAAAAG